GTCAACCCAGCGCGTTTGCCTGTTGTGGTGGGCGGTCTGCTTGATGTTGACTGTGCGGATGACGTCATAAAACAGCTGATCGCTGTTGTCCGAGGTTCGTCTTTTGGCACATATTACTAAGCTGCTAACGGCAGTAAGGTTCTTTTGGTTCTGATTTTCGGCAAGAGCTATTTCAGAGGTCTTTATTCACTATGCCTTGAACTGTGTCTTAAAATTGGCACCAGATTCTGATTTCGATCTGCTATTTTTGAGTCCATGGGATGCTTTTGAGTGCACGAGAAACCCTTTATTTTCATCCACAGTAGGATGAACTGGGGGTCGATAGTTTCGATTTTTGTACTTGCTATCCTTAGTTCCATGCTTTGATAACATTCCAAATTTTTCAGGCAATGCATTAGCACAGTGAAGTGAATTTGTTATTAATGCTTTTTAATTCCACATTAGTAGCTATATCCATTCGTTTGTTTCCAGGTCAATTCAGCACTGATGAACTGGTGGCCGAAGTAGAAAAGCGGAATCGACTTAAGCTTCTCCTGCCCTGGCTCGAATCTCGCATTCACGAGGGTTCCGTCGAGCCCGCGACCCACAATGCTCTTGCTAAAATCTACATTGACGCAAACAACAGCCCTGAACGTTTTTTACGAGAAAATCAGTACTATGATAGCTATGTGGTGGGTAAATACTGCGAGAAACGTGATCCCAGCCTTGCTTGTGTGGCCTATGAGCGAGGTCTTTGCGACAAAGAACTAGTCGCTGTCTGCAACGAGAACTCTCTCTTTAAGACTGAGGCTCGCTATCTCGTGCGTAGGAAAGATCCCGAGCTGTGGGCCGAATGTCTGAATGAAAACAACACCTTCCGTCGCCAGTTGATCGATCAGGTGGTGCAGACCGCTCTGTCAGAGACCCAAGATCCTGACGAGATCTCCGTGGCTGTTAAAGCTTTCATGGCTGCTGATATGCCGAATGAGTTGATTGAGCTGTTAGAGAAGATCGTTCTGGACAACTCGGTGTTCTCCGATCATCGGAACCTTCAAAATTTACTCATTTTGACGGCTATCAAGGCAGATCATAGTCGGGTGATGGAGTACATTGCCAAGTTGGACAACTACGATGCTCCTGATGTGGCTAATATCGCTATCACTCATGGACTGTATGAGGAAGCCTTCGCAATTTTCAAAAAGTTTGAAGTCAACAATTTGGCTATGAAGGTATTTTAAGTTATTTGTCTTATCATTTCTATTTTTCACATGCGTGGACATTGCGCCCAGCAGTTCGGTTTCTTGTCCCACTAAAAGGTCATAGTAGGGGGTGATAGATTGTCGAAGGCTGTCAGTTTTAGTTTTTTGAATTCTTACTCCTAGGTACTGATTGACAACATCCAGAACCTGGACCGTGCCTACGAATATGCAGAGCGTTGCAATGAACCCGTCGTCTGGAGCCTGTTGGCTAAGGCGCAGCTGACCGAGGGTGTGATCAAGGAGGCCATTGACTCCTATATCAAAGCTGGCGATCCCACCAACTATGATGAGGTGATTCGTGCCGCTTCGGCCGCTAATAACTATGAGGATCTCGTCCGTTACCTCCAAATGGCTCGCAAGAAGGCTCGTGAGACTACCATCGATTCAGAATTGGCTTTCGCTTTTGCTAAAACTGGACGTCTCTCCGATTTGGAGGAGTTTATTGCTGGGTCAAATCACGCCAATATCACTTCTGTGAGTTTTCGTGTCTCATTCTTTGTTCTGGTTGAACGAATTGTTAGATTGAGGCTTCATCGGACCATCTGTGTGCTTATTTTCAAACACTAAGTTTTTTGTTGGCTAATGACAATGTCCCTTCTCCCCCTCACTTCAACCAAGAAGCGCAGGGCATTTAAATCAATCTCTCATGTTGCTATGGTGCTGGTTTGACCGTGTCTGATGCTTTCGACATTGGGATTTTGAAGAGTTTTCATTTACAGAAGCCGATAGGTTCTTCCTTCGA